CAGGGATCCCTCCTATCCCTTTTCTTATGTCCCTGTCTCCAGTGGCTGTTCCAGTCTTAGCCAAAGAATGGTTAAAATTGATTTACTATAAAGGCTGTAACTAGGGATCTAGGAATCTTTTTGGAGCTGTGAGATGATGTAGAACTTTTTGCAAGGACCTTTGTGAAGGTATTATTCTAGTCTGCTTCTTTAGTTGTTTTTTTCTCTCTACCTTAGATTCTGATAAAATCTCTTATAAACCCTCCTTATGGTTCCTCTCATAGCCCTCTCACTGCATCTGTACACACACATACACAGCATTTCTGGAATTGTAGGGTAGAGAATATGTGGATTCCAAAATTTTTTTTTCCCTATTAAGATGACAGTTTTTCTAAGTTTGTGCTATGCAGATAGAGTACTCTTAGTTTAAATGCTCCAGGATAGTTTTATTAGTTATGTTGTGGTTCATAACTCTGCTTTGCAACACTAACTTTCCCACAATGGTTATAGTTCTGGATTTTTAAGCCATTTCTTAAAATGTTTAATTATGAAAGCATATCTTTCTGTGTTGGTAAATAATGTTCTGTTTCTTTAAGGTGAATAATTATTCTAAGATAATGAAAAACTTTCTCTGAGATTTACAGTGGGGATGGATTTTATGCTGCCAGGATCAGTTAGTGATGCCTGGCATTGGATTGGAGGAATAGGGGATTATGAAAAGTCAGGTGCTACATACCTGCTGACTCTGGCGTAGCTGTTTTTAAAAGTCTTTTGTAATCATTGGCAGTCTTCAAGTCTGTTTTGGAAACCTTTTAGTCTTTTTAGATAAAAATATGGTATGTCACTGCAGATTGTTTAGAGGAGAGATCTGCTTGTTGATTTCGAAGTCTTGGGAAACATTCTAAATTGTATGCATTCTTACATCTTTTTCTCTACCAATGCTATGTTTTTGTCATACTCCCCCCCCCCCAAAAAAAAAGTGGGAGTAGGGTGTTGCTCAGTGAGCAGATGTGTTCCTCTTGCTGCTCCAGGAAAAAGTTTGTACAGTTTGCTACCTTTTTTTTTAATTTTTATTTTTTGACTATAGTTGACACACAGTTATATTAGTTTCAAGTGCACAGTATAGTAATTAGACAATTTATATGCTATCATTTCTTATATGCTGTCATAATCCCCCCCCCCTCCAAATCTTTACTCTCAGGGATTGGAAAATAAAGATGATCTCCTTGCTGCATCCGAGTTTAATGAGCTGTCACTTAATTTTAAGGCCACCCATGTCACATTATGAAAAACCAGGAAAAGGAGTGGCTGGCTACCTAGGCAAAATTATGACTCTGGTGCAATGATACCAGGTCCATTGCCTGGTTTTCAGATTTCTTATTTCAGTAACACTTCTGTCCATTCTCTGAAGTCTGATCAAACTCTAGACCTTGATTTAAACTAAGTAGGCTTGCATGAGGTTGATAAATCAAACTTCTCAACTTCTTTTTTATTTCTTCTAAAGATTTTATTTATTTATTCATGAAAGAGAAGAAACATGGGCAGAGGGAGAAGCAGGCAGGGAGCCAGATCTGGGACTCCGGGATCATGCCTGTAGCTGAAGGCAGGTACTCAACCACTGAGCCGCCCAGGCGTCCCCAGACTTCTCAACATCTACTGAGAAGTCAAATGATTAATAATAAGACCAAAATACTAACCTCAGCCTGACAGAGCCAATTTCTTACCATTGTTAAATTCTATTGGGAAAAGTCAATGAAGATCAGATGGTTTTGTTTTGTTTTATTTTGTTTTGTTTTAAGTAGAATTTAGTTAGAATATTAGTGTTTGGGTGATCTTTTTTTTTTTTTTTTTTTTTTATTTTTTTTTTAAATTTTTATTTATTTATTTATGATAGTCACAGAGAGAAAGAGGCAGAGACACAGGCAGAGGGAGAAGCAGGCTCCATGCATCGGGAGCCTGATGTGGGATTCGATCCCGGGTCTCCAGGATCGCGCCCTGGGCCAAAGGCAGGCGCCAAACCGCTGCGCCACCCAGGGATCCCGTGTTTGGGTGATCTTAAGGGCTGGTCTCATCAAGCTCTGGTAGCCTGACACAACACTTTATATTTTCTAGGTTATTACTGAAATATTCATATCATTCAGAAAGGACACTTGCTTTGCCAGATTGTCCTTCTATTCAGGAACAGTTTCTGACTTTATAGCTAGCTCTCTGTATTAGGTATTTTGTATCATCAGTGGAAAAACTTTAGTCATTGTGTTTCTATTTTCAAGAAGTTAACATATAAGAGAACAGTTTGTTTTATCAATAATATTTAACAAAACAAAAAATAGATGTGTGCTGATGATTTCTTGTGCTGATGATTAGTCTCACCATTTATATTTCTTCAAGCAGCCTTTTAAGGATTATTTTACCTCCTGTGTTTTGACTACCCATTCAAAGCCCATTTCTGTTTCAGAAATAGCTTTACTTCCATCAGTAGGGAGGCAGTAAAGCATAATGAAAGTTGCTTTGACTTTTTTCCAGTCTTTTTTTTTATTGTGGCAAATACACTTGAAATTTACTATCTTAACCATTTTAAGTGTAGCATTCAGTAGTACTAAATACATTCATAATGTTGTGCAACCATTACTACCATCCATCTCCGTAATTCTTTCATAATCTGAAATTACCGTTCTACTTTAGTACCTCATGTAAATGAAATCATACAATATTTGTCTTTTTTTTTATATAATTGGCTTATTTCACTTAGAAACTAGCTTTAACTTTTAATCAGACACAAAGCCTGACTCTGCTACTTCTCAGCCTTAAAATGCTGGTTAAATTGCTTAAATCTTTTTTGGGCTTCAGGTTTCTGTCGGTAAATGGAGTTAATTCTGACTCTGCAGAAAGAACTAACAAAAGACTAAATCTAGTGAGATAAAAGGAAAACCAAGATAAAAGATCCTGGAAGCCAAGTGAATAAGTATGTCTACAAATGAGTGATCATCTACATCAAATACTGATCATAGGACAAGCAAAAGGAGGTCTAAGAAACAATCATTGAATATAACAATATGAAGTCACTGGTTTTCTTCTTGGCAGTTTTTGGTGGAACGTTAAAAGCACACACTGATTTGAATAACTGGGAAAAGAGAACTAGGAGACAGAGCATATACAACTCCTGAGGATAATATTTTTTTTTTTTTTGTGAAGGGAATGAGAAAAAAAATATAACTGGTGGGGGAGTTGGGGTCAGGACTTTTAAATAGAGGGGATAATACCATGTATATGTATATTGAAGGTAAAGATCTAGTATAGAGGGAAAAAGTGATGTAGGAGAGAATCACCGAGTAAAGTCTTTGAATAGGCAAGGTGATGCCATGGGGTTGATTGTTCAGAGGGCAGGCAATTTGTCCTACTAAAAGAGAGTGTAGATGAGTGGAGGTGGGAGTTCATCGAAAGGCCTCTTGCAGTGGTTTTCTGTTTCAATGAGAAAATAGATGTAAGAAAGGGAAGATGGAGGAATACGAGTTAGAGGTTTGAAGAGCGAAGTCGTGTAGAAGGGACTAGGAGAATTTACAGTTGATTTCCTGGCAGCGTAAATAGTCTACTTGAGGTAAATGATTGCTGACTTGCTCACTTTAAGTTCACATGGTGATAGGTTTTTCTCCAGCTGTATTTAGCTGAGTAGGTATCCAGAGTAGGTGGAGAGTTGGCTAAAGTGGATTTGGGTTCATCCCAATGCATAAGGTGAAGTGAGACTTGGTCAAGGAAATTTGGGGGATATGCAATGGTGTGAGATTTCATTTCACCTAAATATTTTGAAATGTACTGATAACATAGGTTTAAGGAAATAACCACAAGTGAAATGAACAATAGTCTTTCAGTATCAACTTACATTTAGTACTTCTAATTGTCTGATCCTCAGAAATGTCTTTTACACTTGGTTTATTCAAATTATACTCAAACAAGGTATATATAGTGCATTTGATTGCTTTGTCCTGTAAATTGTTTAATCCATGTCAATTGCCTCTCCTCTTTTTTTTGTGTGTCATTTATTTGTTGAAGAAATTAGATCTTTCTCATGTAGCACTTTCCATATTCTGCATCTAGCTGGCTATATTTTTGTGGAGTTAAGATTTAAAAAAAAATTTAATTGTGGTTTAAATATATGTCTTAATTACTTTTAGCACTTTCCATATTCTGCATCTAGCTGGCTATATTTTTGTGGAGTTAAGATTTAAAAAAAAATTTAATTGTGTTTAAATATATGTCTTAATTACTTTTAAGCATACAGTTCAGTAGTGTTCAGTATGTTCACATTGTTGTGTCTTGTGTTATTTTTAACATGTTCCTCTATTTTGTTCAGCTGGCACTGGAAGTAGTAGGGCTTGATAGGATTTATGTTCAGTTTTTTATTTTTAATATGTTTGGATGAGGTGTCAAGGGCATTGTAGTATTGGCACATATCTCATCCTAATGATGATATTGACCATTGGGTTGAAGTCTCATAGCCTTAGTTATCCATTGGATTTTTTTTTCATTAGGGGTTGCAAAATAGTGATTTCTCTAATTATCTAACTCTTTATGCATTTATTAGCTGGAATTCTGTTAAGAACATTCCCTTACCTAGTTTCAGCCAGAAATGCAGGATAAATGCTTGATTCTTTCTTTTCCCAATTTTTAGGTGACGGAGTTTTGTTTTACTTTTTTTTTTTTTATTAAAGTTTTGAATTGATGCAGTTTATAATGACTCACAGTCATTCTTTTGATGTTCATGTGGTCTTACGGGTGGCCACTGGGAGCTTCTTCATGCAGTCTGTTGTGTCTTCCACAGTCACAGCATCTTTGTTAGCACCCAGCCCTTTTTTGTATTTTTCTGATCTTGGGCCTGAAATCCTCCATTTTTCCTAGAAATGCCTAGTTCTTTTTAATGGGAAATGGTATTTAGAGATCATAATATGTGTATTTACTTTTAAAAAGATACTGTTTTCAGTTATGTGGTTCTTCAGAATGCTGATTTTTTTTTTTTAACTCAACAGGCATGCCCAAAGAAAAATACGAACCCCCTGACCCTAGGAAGATGTACACAATTATGTCCTCTGAGGAAGCAGCAAATGGAAAGAAATCACATTGGGCAGAGCTTGAAATAAGTGGTAAGACATGGCACATATAAATTTATGGTATGGAAATCAAGATATGGTAGAAAATTAAGATTTCTAATGCCAATGCACAAAAGAGGCAATGTTCTATTTTGCTAGTGCTAATTTATCTCAGAAGTGGGAAGGTTCAGTGGAAATAACATGGTTTCAGTCAAAGTTCAAAACCCATTCATTACTTATTCTTTCAGTATAAGTGTCCTTTTATAAAATGTGGATAATAACAAGGATGAAATGAAAAAACACTTGTGAAATGCCTGGTGCACAGAGGTTTGTTCTGATATGTAATTCTCTGATAAAGTAGAGTCAGGCTTTTGTATTGTCAAATTACAGATTCCAGTGGGGTGGGAAATGCCTATCCCTAAGTATAGGTTATGTAATAGATTTGTTTCTCCTTATTTTCTTCATTTACTTTTCAGTCTGAGTCTCCAAGGATGGCCTTATTCAGAAACATGAAATCTTAAAAGAATTTAAAGCATATCCCAAAGTTCCCTTCCACCTTAATGGCAGTCAAGACATAGTCAAAGAAATAGATGAGCCTCCAGAGATATCCTCATCATTCCTGCCAATGGGCATGCAGCTTTTTTAATACTTCAGAGGTGGAAAAAGGACATTATAACCTCTCAAGGCAACCAGTGCTATTTTTAGTTTTTATTTAGTTTTATTTTAGTTTTGTGTTAATGTTGGTCTGATTGGCCTCCCCATACTTTTCTTCCAGTCTGTCTTGATTTTTGCCTTCTGAAATAATGAAGAACAAATTTTCTCTTCTTTTTTTCTGACTATCCTGGATTTTTTAAAAATTTTTTTATTTAATGCGGCAAACATACTGAGCATGTGCTGTGTGTAAAACATTTTGCCAGGTGCTGTACTAGGTATATGGAAGATACATAGATGGGGAAAAAAACACAGTCCCTGCCATTCTGGAACTTATGAATATTAGGGAGTGAGAAGAATAGAATATACTTGTATAGATAACTAATAGACAAAATATAACTGCCATTCTAGATAGAAAAATATTTACAAGAAGCCAAAAAGGAAGTAATGATAGTAATATTCTTCCCTTGTCAGCTCAAAATTTCTGGTTAACCTATTCAGTAAACCTAAACATTCCCTGGGATATGCACATTAATCTGGTTTCTCTCTCTTGGTTTTTAGAATGCTGGTGGTAATTAAGTTGAGTTTCTGTTTCATAGAGTAGGTGTGGTAGTGTAAAATTTTTCTTTTTTTCCCCCCTCTCCTGTCATATTTGACTTTCTGGGTCAGGGTATCCCAAAGGGAAATACACTTTCTGATTTATCAGTTACCTTCAGAGCTTAGGCAATCACCCATTTCTGCTTTCCCCTTTTAATTTCTTCAGGTTTGTATTTAATTGTATTTTTCTCTTTTCAGTCTGTATTAGCAGTTTTTGAGTTGTAAGTCATTTGTTTGTAGGGAAGTTTCCTTTTTCTAGTAATGTCAGAATAAGCTTAGAAAGTACTTACTTAGGGGATCCCTGGGTGTCTCAGCAGTTTAGCGCCTGCCTTTGGCCCAAGGCATGATCCTGGAGTCCCAGGATCAAGTCCCACGTTGGGCTCCCTGCATGGAGCCTGCTTCTCCCTCTGCCTGTGTCTCTGCCTCTCTCTCTCTCTCTCTGTGTGTCTCTCATGAATAAATAAAATCGTTTTTTTTTTGTTTGTTTTTTTTTTTTTTTTTTTTTAAAGAAAGTACTCACTTAGATTATATCTCAGAGGTTATGGGGATTCTCCTCCACTGTTTCTCTACTTCATGTTGGGAACTGCTTGGCAAATTTAAATAACTTTTCTGCTTACTGTGAGAAAGAAATCTTTATACAAGACAGGAAGGAAGTATCCTGTTAGTATCATGGAAGATAAACTATTGGTTGAAATAGGTCAGTGGAACAGGGCTTTGTAATAAAGCCACTATCAGGAAGGTCACTTTATTGTCTCAGCCAGTCTTTAATACATAAGCTCCAACATGTATAAATTGTCAAGGCTGACTTCAGTTCATGCAAAGACAGTTCATATATATACTTTAGCACCAGTTCTTTAAGATTCTGTGATGCAAAGTCCTAGGGACCTGAGGTCATTGACTCTTGGACCCTCAGTTTTCTCATGCACTCCTCTGGTTCCAGGGGGAATGGGTGGTGAGTTCCTTTTGCCATTTGGAGGTAAGCAGATAAGCCAAATGACTATTAATCATTTACCTTTTAATTTATTTTTTAAAAATAAAGATTTTATTTATTCATGAGAGACACAGAAAGAGAGGCAGAGACATAGACAGAGGGAGAGGCAGGCTCCTCACAGGGAGCCCAGTGTGGGACTCGATTCTGGGACTGGGATCACACCCTGAGCCAAAGGCAGATGCTTAACTGCTGAGCCAGCCAGGCATCCCAATCATTTACTTTTTAAAGAAAGCCTTTTGAATGAAACACATAAAACCACAAAGACAAATCTATTAATGAATTATTATAAGGCCTAAGCCTTGTAACCACTATCCAGGTCAAGAAATAGAACTTTTGGGTTCCCTGGGTGGCGCAGCGGTTTGGCGCCTGCCTTTGGCCCAGGGCGTGATCCTGGTGACCCGGGATCGAGTCCCACGTCGGGCTCCCGATGCATGGAGCCTGCTTCTGTCTCTGCCTCTCTCTCTCTCTCTCTCTATCATAAAAAAAAAAAAAAAAAAAAGAATTAGAACTTTTTTACCTCCCCCAGCTCTGTCCATCGTGACAGCCAATCATAACCACCTCCCTGCTCTCAAAAGTAACCATTATTTTCTTACTTTTCCAGTAATCACTTTCTTTGTTCCCTTACAGCTTTAATACCAAATTGTGTGTATCTAAGCATTATGGTTTAGTCCCCATCCTCTTTTTATTTAGTATGTCTTAATTTACAGGTTTCTTCTCTGTGTTGAACTTGGGGTGGTTTGACTTGTTTCACCACAGGCTCTGTTTTGTTTACGGAGACTCATGCAGTTGAACATGTTTTTCATCCCCTACAAATGGGCATCTGGATGCAGAGGCTTGGTCAGGCTCAGATTTGACCCCTGGGCAGGGCTTAAGATGATGCTTGCTTTTCCGTCAGATAGCAGATAAAATCTGAAGGTCTTTTCCACTAATGTTCAGTGCCTAGAGCCATTAATTCTTTTAGGGTTTGCTAAATAGTGATATTCTAATTCTGTCATTTTTTTCATTAAGTGAGCTGCATCTATAAAAAGATGCTTTTCCTTATTTATTGATTGATGACCCAGTATACAGTTTATACAGCAAAGGCAGAAAAGAAAGCTTGTTCCTTTAATTTACTAGTTTTCAAGATAAATTGTCATCCTTTGAGTGTGACTAGTTAGGTTTTTTAAAGTGTCATTATTAACTACTATAGCTAAACATTTGGGTTTCAGGTGTAGATCATAAGTTGTAATTATTACTTTATTTTGTTGCTTAAATTGTCTGGTTGTTGACTAATGGGAGAGCTTTTTAAATGATTTCTGAGTTTCTGATACAACTCTAATTGTCTTTAGTAGTTTCCTCGCTATCTGGTATAGCAAGATTTTCTTGGCTCATCTTGTGTATTTCTTGCCTCAAACCTGGAATAATATTTTTTCCAAAAAATCTGTTTGTCTTTTTTTTAGTTGGAAATGATATTTCAAGACCAAAATATCTGTTGCTAGGGATGCTTGTTGCTATTGGGTGGGTCATTGTTTCTAGGTGTTTCCACTGGACAGAGCTAGGAAATAGGACTATATATATCTTCATATGTATGTGTATTATATAACATATATGGAGAGAGTTGACAGATATATATTTGTATGTGTATACATGCTTAATATGATAAAATATTTTTAAATATATAAAATACATTTGTATATTTAGAGTTACAAAATGTCTTATAAAAATATACTGATACTTTTGTATTTAGAATAACAGGGATTTTATTTAACCTTTTCTATAATTACATGTGTATCTCCTTTAATACTGCGTGTCCTAGTTCTCAGGGATATGGGATGATGGAATTTGAATATCCTGTAATTACTTATTTGGTTTATCCCATATTACATTGCAGTCTCAATAACAGTACTATACTAAAAATACTACCACTAATATGAGTACTGAAAGCAGGTAGAACTGCTTGGAATATCGTTCCCATTCTCCACCCCACTCCTGTTAAATAGTTGTACTCTATATTGTGAGAGTGTAGTCATGACATACTATCAGCCTTCCCATTTAATGTGGATACAATCCCCACTTGGACTTTGTTTTGTTAGTAAGTATATATATTCAGTGCCTCCCACTAGTTCATTTATCTCTAATAATTTTGGACTTCTGGAATCTTGTTTTCTAGATGTTTCCTTAGGAAGGGCTCGTGGTAGCAATATTCTCTGAGTTTCTTGCACGTTAATAACAGTTTGTATCTTTATATTCAAATGTCAGTTTGGCAGAATATAAAATAGGTGGCTCACATTCTTTCCTGAAATATCCTGAGTATGTTACTTCCGTTTTGCTATAGGCTTTGATGACAGTTCAATTTTCTTTCACTTATTAGTTAGTTGCTCTTTTTGCCTACATGCCCAAAGGATTTTTTTTTTTTAAGTCAGTAATTTTATTGGAATATATCTTGGTGTTGGCTTTGTTCTACCTTTATATTCTCAGGTACGGTATATTAAGAAAAACATGTGTGTGTGTAGTTTGAATTTTTTTTCTTTTAATTTCATTACAGTTTGGGTAATAACTTTTGGTATGCTGGTTCCTTTGGTTTTTTTCAGAGATTTATTCTCTAAATTTGCATATTTGTCTCGAATCGTTTTTAAAACTTTTTTTTAAAGAAATTAAGATATAATTTACAGGAAGATAAAAATAAAACTCACCTTATTGTTGTACATTTATATATACACAGTTGTATAACCACCACCACAGTTACAATATGAGTTTCATCACCTCCAAAAAACTTCCCCATGTATCCCCCCCCACCTTTTTTTTTTTTTTTTTTGAGATTTTATTTATTTGAGTT